CCACGCGCTGGGTCCTGGTGAGGAGCCACTCAGCAAGGCCAAGCAGAGCCGCAGTGAGAAGAAGGCTCGGAAGGTAGGGAGGCTTGGAGGTCCCCTGAGAGGGCTGGGGTTAATCCGGGGAGAGGGGATCACTTCTGGGGTGTTGGGGCACAAGTCCCTGCTCTGGGGGGCCCCAGGTCATGCTGGGGTGAGGCTGGGAGTGCTTTTCCCATGCCAGGGCTTTGAGGGGATCTGTTCTGGGGTGTTGGGGCTTGCATTCTCATTCTGGAGGGTCCCCAGGTCATACTGAGGTAGGACTGGGGGTCCTTGTCTGCAGCTGTGGGTCTCCATTCCATCCCAGAGCTTTGGGGGGGATTAGCTCTGGGGTGTTGGAGGCATATCCCCATTCTGGAGGTTGCTGGGTGGGGCTGGGGGTCTCTGTCCTATCCCACTTTTTTCAGCAATCAGTTCTGGGGTGTTTGGGTTCAAGGTCCCACTCTAGGGGTCTCCAGGTTATACTGGGATGGGGCTGGGGATGTCTGGGTGGGGCTGGCATCCTTATCCTGCCCCAGGATTTTGGAGGGTGATCAATTCTGAGGTGTTGGGGTTCAAGTTCCCACATTGGGGTGCAGATGAGGGTCCCCACCTGGGGTTGACAGGTCTAGCCTGGCCATGCTAGGGGAACAGTATCCCCCATCCCTGGTTCCCCCATTATTCCAGGGATTTGGGATGTTACTGGGGGCTGGAGGCACTGTGCTGGGGCTCAGGGGGTCCCTATCCCAGGGCTCTGGCAGGGAGGATCAGCCCTGGCGTGTCAGGGGCAGGTCCCCACTCTGAGGGCCTCCAGGTCATACTAGGGCAGGGCTGGGGGTCCTTATCCCACCACAGGTTTCTTTGGGGATCAGTTCTGGGGTGTTGGAGTCCAAGTCCCCACAATGAGGTGCAGATGAGGGTCCCCATCCTGGGTGATAGGTCCAGCCTGAACATCCCAGGGAACATCCCCCATTCCGGGTTCTCTGGTTATCCCTGTGGGTTTGGAGTGTTACTGGGGTGCTGGAGCCACTGTGCTGGGGCTCAGGGCTCACTCCATGTCCCTCTGTGCCCCCCAGGCCATGTCCAAACTGGGGCTGCGGCAGATCCACGGCGTCACTCGCATCACCATCCGCAAGTCTAAGAACATCCTGTTTGTCATCTCCAAGCCCGACGTGTTCAAGAGCCCTGCCTCGGACATCTACATCGTCTTCGGGGAGGCCAAGGTGGGGCTGGGAGGGCTCTGGGGGGGCCCCTCGCGGCGAGGGGAGGGCCCGGGCTGATCCCGTGTACCCCCCAGATTGAGGACCTGTCGCAACAAGTGCACAAGGCAGCGGCTGAGAAGTTCAAGGTGCCCCTGGAGCACTCGGCACTCATCACTGACGCAGCGCCTGCGCTCGCCATCAAGGAGGAGAGCGAGGAAGAGGAGGAGGTGGGTGCTGGGGGAGGTCAGAGGGTCCTCCAAGGTCCTCAGGGGGTGGGATGGGGCGGTGACACCCCCTCAAGTGCTGGAGGTGCAGAACATGGAGACGGGGATGGGACAGGTCAATGTCTTGTGTCCCAGGAGGGGACATACATTGGCACCTGGGCTTCCTGGGGATGAGGGACCCCTGTGGTTCTTGGTGGGGTGCTGAAGGATCCCCAAGGTCCTGGGGAGTGTTATGGTGGGTGATAGCTCTGTGCCCCACCCCCCTGGTGGGTGAGACAGGACTGGAGGTGAGGGACATTGAGCTGGTGATGGCCCTGGCCAACGACTCATGCTCTGGGAGGGGGCACAGAGGGACTCCATGGTCCTGTGGGCTGTTGAGGGACCCCCAAGGTCCTGGGTAGGTGCCATGGGGAGGGTCACAACACTGCTCCTCAGGTGGACAAGATGGAGCTGGAGGTGCAGGACATGGATCTGGGGATGGCCCAGGCCAATGTCTTGTGTTCTGCGGGGCTGCAGAGGGACCCCTGGGGTCATGGGTGGATGCCAAGGGAACCCCAGTGTCCCAGGGGGGTGCTGAGGGACTCTCCAAGATTCTGGTGGGCACTACGCAGGGGTGACAGCACTGTGTCCCCTCAGGTGGAGGAGACAGGGCTAGACGTGCAGGGCATAGATGGCTCTGGCCAACATCTTGTGCCCTAGAAGGGAGAGCTAAGGGACTCCTGAGTCCTGAGAGCAATGCAGAGGGACCCTCAGGGTCCTGGGTGGGTGCTGATGGACCCCCCAGGTCCTGGGAGGTGCCATGGTGAGGTGACAGCTCTGTGTCCCACCAGATAAACAAGACAGGGCTGGAGGTGAGGGACATGGAGCTTGGGATGGCCAATGTCTTGTGCTCTGGGATGGGGCATGGTGGGACCCCTGGGGTGGGTGTTGAGGGACCCTCAATGTCCTGGGCACTTTTATGGGGGGTGACAGCTCTGTGTTTCCCCTCCCAGGTGGATGAGACAGGACTGGAGGTGAGGGACATCGAGCTGGTGATGGCCCAGGCCAATGTGTCTCGCCCCAAGGCCGTGCGGGCGTTGAGGCACAACAACAATGACATTGTCAATGCCATTATGGTGAGTGTCCAGGGGGGCTGCAATGGGAGGAGGCACCCCCTTCCCAGCAGGAAGTTTGGGGTGGGTTAACCTCTCTCCAGCATGGATGGGGGTGTGCCCCCCTGGGGGTCCCTGACACTCTGCTCTCTCCCGCAGGAACTGACCATGTAGCGGCCAGGGGGTCCTGGCCCCCTCTATAGATGCACAGTCCCACTCAACCCCCTCCCAAATCCTCTCTCAGCCCCCCCAGCCCTGTCCTGCTCAATAAATGCCTCCTGCACCCCTTGGATCGCACTCGGCCTTCCCCTGTGCTCATTTGGGGGGGTCTGGGCAGCCCCACTGGGTCCTTTTGGCGACCTGGCTCGGGGGGGGGGAAGGGGACAGCAGTGGGATGAGGGGGACAGTGCCTGGGGGACTGGGGAGATGGGGGAGACACTACCATGGGCAGGCTTTGGAGGACGTGTGGTCCTTGAAGTGTGTCAGGGCATCCCTTTTACCAGCAGTGGGGTGGGAAGGAGCAGCACCCAGGGAGTGTAACTGGGATGGGAGATGTGGAGGGGATGTTGGGTTGGGCAGGTTTTGGGGGGCTCATAGCCCTCAAGGTGGGTGGAGGGGGGGTCAGGCCACCCCCTTTTCCAGCAGTGGGATGGAGAAGGTGGAAGGGATGCTGGAGTGGGCAGGTTTTGTGGGGCTCATGGCCTCAGGGAGTGATAGTGCCCCAGGGTGCTCCCAACACCACTGGGGATCAGGGATTTGCCCCAAAATTTGGGTGGAGTAGGGGTGGCAGGGACCTGCCAGGACATTACAATCCTGGGGTATTCCCAGTGTTAAATTCCATTTCCCATGGAATTCACACCCCACCCTGACCCTAAACAGTTTGGAGCTCTCTGAACTCCTGTTCAAAATGTGAATTTTCCTGAAATTCCCAGATTCCTGAAGGATTTAATGCTGGAAAACGCTCCCACAGCTCTGAGGGTGGGAAGGGAGGGACCTCCTGCTCCCCAAATCCTAAGGGTCCTCCTCCTTGCCCCCCCTCCTGCTGCCCAGTTTCCCAGCCTCAGAATGGGAAGGGCTGTGGGAGGGGCACCAACCCCCCCCACATCTCCCCCAGGTGAGTTGCCAGGGTAAGTCTGCTTCCTGCACCCCCAAATTCCAGGGGCAGGCAGGGCTGTGGAATTCCAGGAGGAGAAGGGGGAACACACCAGTAAGGGTAAGGGGGAGGGGGCATACCAGTAAATGGAGCAAGGGGAACTGGGGACATCAGTAAGGGGCAGGTGTGTGAACTGGTGAGCACTGGGTGCAGAAGGGTTAAAGGCACTGGGGGGGGTAAGGCAGGGGAGGGATTTGGGGCCAAAGCCAGTGGAATGTGCTGGAATGGACTGGATGGATCCCCAAACTGCTGAGTCAGTTTCTGGCGGGAGGCCTAGGGCATCCACGGGAGCAGAGCCCCCCGGGTGTGGCTGTGGGATAACTGGAGACCCTCTGCAGGGGTGCAGATAAAAGGGGGTCTTGGGTCAGTTTGGGGGGTCCCCATGGTCCTGGGGTGCCCCAGCAGCTCCCCCACACCCCCCCGGAGTGCCTGCTGCACCAGGTCTCCCAGGATGGGTGTTAGGGGTTGACTGTGGGGTACCCTGGGATGGGCAGGGGGTGACCATGGGGTGGTGCCCCAAGTGAGCAGTTGTGTGTACCCTCCTGCTATTCCAGAGCAGGGACTCACACACATATGGGCTGAAGGTGCTGGAATGTTCTGGAATGTTTGGCTCTGAAATGTTCCACACCAGGGATGAGAGAGGAAACAATTCACATTGTGGTTAAACTTCACTGGGGAAAAGGGGGGGCAGGGACAGGGAAGCCCATGTGCAAAATGTAAACTGGGTCGCAGAGCAGATCCTGACCCTTGGGAGAAATCCAGAGCCTTGGGAGAAGATCCCAGTGCTCAGGAGATCTTTGGGATCTCCTTTGGAAGAAAATCTGCTCAGGAGGAGATCTCGATACCCAGGAGATCCATCCCCTTAGGAGGGGATCTGGCCGCTTGGGAGGAGTTCCATCTCCATTGGAGGAGATCTGTCCCCCAAATCCAATCCAGAGCTGCTCCTGCACTGGCATCCAGAGATGCTCCTGGAGCTGTGAAAGAGGGTGGGAGAGGTATTACATCCTGCTGGAGCCACAAATCCTGTGGGAGAAGGATGTGCATCCTGGGATCCCCCCAAGGGCAGCTCTGTGTTCCAGGATCCTCTGGGGGCAGCTTCTCTGGGATGAAGGGACACAGCTCTGGAGCTGAGACATCACAGAGAGAAGGGGTCGCTGTGGCCCAGACACACACCTGGGACAGGTATCTGTGTGGATTCCCATCTGGGTGATATTCCTGAGGCTCCTGAGTCTTCCAGAAGAGCCCAGGAGGCTATTTGGAAGGGGGGGGATAGGGACCCCCAGGCTCTCCCATTCCCACCTGAGACCTGCAGCCACCATCCACAGAGGGCAAAATCTGGCTCAGGTGGGATTTTCTGAGCTCTCAAGGATCCAGTTCCTCACCCACTATATTGCCGAGCTTACTGGGAATCAGGGACAGCTATGCTGTTCTCTCAGTCCCCTTTTCCTTGGATTTTAGAGGCCAGGTGAGTGTTCCTGGGTGTTTAAGCTCAGATTGTTCCCCCAGCTGGGCCCAATCTTGCCAGAACGAGGCCCCTCACAGCTTTTGGGGGGCAGCCCCTACCCAAACTGCTCCCAGGACAACTCTGGATACCCCAAAACTGGAAAAAAAAAACTTTCTGGGAGGCTTGCAGCCCAGTTTGTGACTCCTCTCAGTGTGTTCTGCCCCCATCTTGCTCTTGTACCAGAGCTTCTGCAGCTCCTTAGAGCCAAAAATCGGCGCAGGAGGAATGTAAGGCCCCTCCCTGATCCCTTCCAGGACCGTGATGACCTCTCCAGGGAACGTGGGTTCAATATTCCCAGGCTAATGGCACATCCAACACTGGGATCACTTGGAGTTGGGCACCAGGGACTGGCCAAGCACCAGGAGGCTCTTCCCTGCTAACAGTGGGAATGGAGAGGCTGGTGCTGGGCTGGAGGAGGTGCCCTGGCCTGGAGGTTCTTAAGTCTGGAGCAGGTTCACTGGTTTGGAGGAAATTCCCAGGTCAGGAGGAGGTTCCCTGGCCTGGAAGAAATTTCCTGGGAGGGACGAGATTTCCACTTCTGGCAGAAATACCCAGGCCTGGAGGAGGTTCCCATAACTGGAGGAGGTTCCCAGGCGCTCTACAGCCAGGTGGGTAAAATGGGATAGATGGATCAACTGCTCTCAGGAATGAGGAATCTCCCCAGGAGACAGAGATGTTTCTCTTTGCATGGTAACACCCTTGTACTACCCCTGTGCCTCCCACACCCACCTCTGATCCTATCCAATTCCCCCATCCCTCAGCACTCCGTTCTCGCTTCCAGAACTTTCCTGCTCTGAGGGGCCTTCCCACACTCACCCAGGAGCAGGGATTTTCTGCTGTCCCCCTAGAGCTGCTTGAGGTTGGTGAAGAATTAACGGATGGAGGTGCAGTTGTGGTACAGGAGCCGCTCTGATGCCAGGTGAGAGGTGGGAATGTTCAGCTGGAGAAAGGGAGGCTCCAGGGAGACCTCAGAGCCCCATCCAGTGCCTAAAGGAGCTCTAGGAAAGCTGCAGATGCACTTGGGGACAAGGGCCTGGAGGGACAGGACAAGGGGGAAAGGATTCCCACTGCCAGAGGGCAGGGTCAGATGGGGTATTGGGAAGGACTTCTTCCCCGTGAGGGTGCTGAGGCACTGGCACAGGTTGCCCAGAGCAGCTGTGTCTGCCCCATCCCTGGAAGTGTTCCAGGCCAGGCTGGATGGGGCTTGGAGCAACCTGGGCTAGCAGAAGGTGTTCCTGCCCATGCCCCCAGGGACGCAGGTGCACACCTCCTCCCCATCCCATTTCCCCCCCCCTTCCCGTAGCCTCCTTTGCTCTTTTTATTCATTTCTACATTCACCATCCCCCGCACACCCCCAGTGTGGGTTGGGGTGACAAGGGAACC